TTAATGGACCTTGGGTCAAGTTTACCTCTTTGAAATTGATATATTAAACATAGGCAACACACCAAGAGACTCCAGGGACAAGATTATTCATGAATTTTATGTCACAAAAGAAGGTAGGTAGGACTTCAATAGGATAGCGAAATTCCAACACCCTAGAGGACCTATTTATAAGATAGATGGTGTTTAACATAGTCTCTCCTAGTAATGTTTAGGTACATAGTTTTGGGACAAGAACACATGTAGTAATGAGAAAGTGACTGGTTTACTGTTCTGCCACCCTTACATTCTACAGTCATATTAAATGGGACCTCCGTTCTGCTATCACATCCATAAGTTGAAGTAACCTTTGAAATATGAGCAATTCATGCTGAAACTTAAACTAACAATGAGAGTTTGGGTACTAGTCGACAATGAGGAACAACTCGGCTGACTACTCGCAATCATTTAAGTGATTCATGATCTCGTGTTTTCTTCTGCCCATTTAATTTTCTTTTCCTGCTAATAAATTAAAATGTCGAGGGTTGGCTTTAATTTAGGAAGTATAAACTATGTCTTTTTATGAAAATCATATGAATTATGTGGATGATTTCTATGACAAGCCTTGGGAAGTTCCATTTCCACTCACATCCTGCCAGACACCCTAAGTTTCCCAGTTTGGTTCCTATTTTTATGGTTGTTACGTTGACACACTTCTAGCGCTGCATGGTTCTTGGCTCTTATATAATTGTTATTGTCTCAACTAAGTTTTTTCTACTAAGTTACTTATAAGCTCTGTTACTGCAGAAACTTCAAGGTCAGATTTACCACCACATGATGTAGAGAGGTGTTAATACTTTTCTTGTTTCTTTTCTCTCTACCTATTTTCATAACCATTTTATGAAAAAATTATGATGCATTAGTTTTACTTTGTAGTGCCTCTCTATGCATTAGTTTTACTTTGTAATGCCTCTCATATGTTGTCTTTCTGTTAGGTTCGTATTCGTGGTTCAAGGATCCATTACACTCTCCAATTCATCTGGCACTACCAACAAACTAACGGTGTGGTTGTCTGGTTTACATTTACCTACTGAAATTTAGTATTGTTAAAGAACAGGAATTTCCTCTATATTCTATTAGAGAATAGTAAGCTACCTTCCTTACTGTCTCCTATAGTTGAATGTCCTCTATGGGTAGGTCCTATTACAGTCAATATCCTATTTAATTAGATTTTGTTTTGAGCTTTTTTTTTTCTTTTATTCATAAGTAGATGTAAGATAAAGAGAGCTTGAACACAACATCTAGAGAAAATTAATAAAAAAATAAAAATCAGATATCTCAAATCTCGATAATCAGTCAATATCAGAATACTGTTTGTATAATAATCATATAAGTCTTGATAACAACTAAGCTAGGTTGCTGTATATATAGGTAACAAACATAACCGAAACAAAAAAATTTAAGTCTAAAAAATAAATCTACTAAATAGAAAAATAAACTCATTAGTTATAGAATCTCCAATAGCGAATTTATTTAAAAAGAAAAAGAACCTTCGATAGAGAATAACAAAAAAGGATATAGTTAAATAGGGATAATAAACTCATACTAATAACAAAAATCTGGGTGAGGGATCTATTATGGAGCATTCCAGCTTAAAGTGCTTAAGCAAGTGTGCAACCTGTTTAGTGAATTTTTTTCCCTCTCTACCGGTATTTTTAGAGGTTAAAGCTTGTTAGAGAGAAACTACAGGTCTCTGGAGTTTGGAGTCTGTACTAATAATTTTCAGTCTCTTTATTAGTAAGAGCCATAGCATATGTCTTTCCAAAAAAAAAAAAGAACAAGAGCGATAGCATATATATAGGCAAGCCCTATTGGTCGGCTTTCTATAATCTATCTAAAACCAACTTCTAAACTGACACTTATTTTGTTGGAAGATGATACTTCTTTTTCTATTAAAAAACTCTTATTTTGTCACAGCGAACTGCATATTCTAGTTCCTCGTGGACTTCCTAGTAAACTCCTAGCCAAACTCCTACTGATAATTATTAATACCTATGATAACTAAACTAGAACTTGTGCAAAGTCAAGATTCTCAAGGAATGACAATAACGTAGATTGGGAGTGAGGAATGCACTATTTGTCCTATGCCAACTTTCGATCCTTGACCTTGATTCCGAACCCTTGACGAGATTTTTCTTTCATTCTTGTTTATCCGCTTGTGGCAATATAGGGATCCCTCATCAATAAATGAGTTTATTTTCTTTGTTATTTTAGCATCTATAAGTAAATTGCAAATTAATGCCTAATTTTTATCTAAAAAAAAAATTTAATGTCTAGTGTTCATTGGAATGCCTATTGACACTTCATCTTATCCTATTGGTTTAGCTTGTCTAGAGTGGTGGATTTTGGAACTCATCAATTTTGTTCCATGTAATTTCTGAAGATATAATTTTTTTCCCCTATCAATGTTGTTTAACGTGTTTCAGTTTATCTAAACTTTAGCCTAAGGAGAAGTGCTAGAGAATAGGAAAATTTCCTATATAGTCCATAAAAGATATTAAGCTATTTTCCTTATAAGCTTTTTTTATATAGTTCGTGTTAAAAATGGTTTGATGTGTATTCTATTAAATATTACAGTTTTAAATATGTAGCTTTTCTAGGATGGAAAAAAAAAAAGATAATTAATTACAAATGGTGTAATTTACCATTATACCCTTTAAACTAATTTACTTTCTCTTTAACACTCCCGTCAAGTTGGGGGGAATAGATGATATTCATTCCCATCTTGCCAATAAAAGGTTTGGAATGCTGGATTCTTACATCTTTAGTTAACACATTTGCTATTTGAAAATTGTTGGGTATATATAGGGTACATATTAGGCTACTGTCAAGTTTTTCTTTCATAAAAATTCTGTCTATCTCGATGTGTTTGATGTTGTCGTGTTGCACATGATTGTATGCGATGTTTATGACTGACTTTGTCACATTATAGATGCATAAGATTTTCACATACTCTTTTTGCCATTTCTTGAAACTTTGGTTTTGCATTTGATCTTGCAACTATATATTCTTTCTTACTTTGTCATGTGACTAGATTGTCTCGAAAGAAAGTACAAAACCTTGCTGGAGATCTTCTATCTATAATTGATCTTGCATATTCTGTATCAGTATAGGGTTTAGGA